GCGATCTCAGCTCACTGCAACCTCTGCCTCCCAGTTTCAAGCAATTCTCTTGCCTCAGCCTCCTGAGTAGCTGGGATTACAGGTGCCCCCCACCACGCCTGGCTAATTTATTGTATTTTTAGTAGAGACAGGGTTTCACTATGTTGGCCAGGCTGGTCCTGAACTCCTGACCTCGTGATCTGCCCGCCTCGGCCTCCCAGAATGCTGTGATTACAGGCATGAGCCACTGTGCTCGGTGTATTTTCTAATAATTTTACATTCTTTGGATGTACTCTGTTCATTTTCTAACTTCTCAAGATAGCAACTCAATGCATTAATTTTCGGTCTTTTCTACTATATGCATTTAAGACTGTCCATTTTTCACTAAGATCTGTTTTAGTTGTGTCTTGCACATTTGGATATATTGTGTATTGCTCAGTTTTAACTTTGTTATCCATTATGATTTTTATAAAACTGAATTATTTAGTAAATTAAAATATTTTCAAAGGTACTGGAGATTTTTGGTTTATTTTTCTATTAATTTTTAATTGTATTGCATTACACTCAGAACATGCTCTACTTGCCATTGACTTCTTGGTATTTTTTGAGATTTGCTTCATGGTCTCCTAATTGATAATTTAAAAAAAATAAATGTTTAATGTGTGTTTGAAAAAAGTGTATTTTTAAATGTTAGGTACAAGGTTATATATATTCATTAGATCAAACTTGTTAATTTTTATAAAATCTTCTGTATTCATATTAATTTTGTCTGTTTAATTTCTTAAATCTTTGTTGAAATCTCTTAAGATTACGACTTTGTCATTTTCTTCTTCGAGTTCTGTCAACATTTGCCTTAATTATTTTGAAATTGTGTGGTTAGATTAATTACACTTTATAGTGGCAATATAACTTTCCAGTGAATTGTTTCTTTAGATGTCAGGTAGTGATATTAATCTCTAATAGCGCCTTTCACCTTAAAGTCTGTTTGTTCTGGTATTAACTACCAGGTATACTTTTTAATATGTCCCCCTCCTTTATTTGCCTTTTGGTGCCATTATTTTTTAAAAATACGTTTTGTAGCTGGATTTATAATCTAATCTGAGAGGCCTTGTCTTTTATCTAGTGAACTTAATCTTGCATTTACTACAAATCATGATTTATAGCTGGTTTTGTTTCCACCATCTTTGTGCTTTCTAGTTTTCATGCTTTTTTTTCTTAAAAAATTTGTCTGTGCTTTTCATGAGTTGCATTCATACTTTCTTTGGTTCTTTTTTTCTTTTTATTTTCTCTTTCTATTGGATTGAGCCGGTTTTTAAGTTCTAGCTATTCTAGTACACCTCCACCAGAAATTATACATTCTCTCTTTCCTTTCAGTATTTACTCTTCATTTGGACATCTTTACTTAAAGTCTAAAATTAGTCAATTTTAAAGTCCGATCATATGCCTTTTACCTTAAATGGTATTGTTGTCTAATATTTTATTTCTGTCTTTTTAAAATCTGTACTCCAAGTAGGTATTATTAGTACTGTTTTACATAGTACCTGTTTGTATTTGCTTTATTTATTTATTTGCTCACCATTGTTTTGCTATACCAGTCAGTTTTTATACTTTACTTTCTTTTCCTGAAATGAGTCCTTGAACTTAATTCTTTGAAATTAATATAGCAATTCTTTGAGACAAGTCTGAGAATTTAATTTTTTGAACAAGGGTTTACCCATGGTAAATTCTGTCTCTTTTTGTCTACAATGTCTTTTGTTTGCTTTTTTCTTGTCATCATTCTTGAATGATAGTTTTTCTGGGTATGGAATACAAGGGTGGTTGTTTTTCTTAGCATTTCCAAGATATTTTCCATTTCTTTGTTTCTCTGATTGCTTCTGAGAAGTCTGCTCACAGTCAAATTCCTCTTGTCAGTGGGTCATCTGTCCTTTCTCTGTTGTTGCTTCTGGGATCTTCTCTTTGTTCTAGGTGTTCTAAATTGCACTAGGATATGAATAGATAAGAATTTGTTTTCACTTATACTGCCCTAGGTAGGATTCGTGCCTCTTAAATCTAAAGACTTATGCATTTAATTGAACCTGAAAAATTCGTAGCCATTATCTCTTTAATTTTTGCCTCTGTTCCATTCTTTTAATTCTCTGCTTTTGGTATGTCTATTTAAATGTGTGTCAAACTTCATTTTGAGCTTCCAGCCTTAGGATGTTTTAAATTATGAAATATCACACATTCAAGCCACACATGGTGACACACAACTATGGTTCCAGCTATGTAGGAGTCTGAGGCAGGAGGATCACTTGATGCCAGCAGTTCAAGGCTGCAGTGAGCTATGATCGTGCCTGTGAATGGCCACTGCATTCCAGCCTAGGCAACATGAGACAAGAACAAGAGAGAGAGAGAGACAAGGAAGGAAGGAGAAAGAGAGCACACATTCAAAACAGTTACTATATCTATAGTTTAATAATTATATAACATTATTAACTAATTATGTAAAATAGGATGAACACCTGTGATCCCAGTACCATCAGCTTGAGCAATTTAATATCAAGGAGTACAAATGAAATCTGCATCTTACCTGCATGATTTTTGTGAGAATGCAATAAGATAAGCAAAACCGTGTGGCTTAGACTTAGTAGCTGGTCGTTCTTTAAGGAGAGACACCGTCAGAAATGTGGTAGAGTAGATTCCAGCATTTGTTAAATTTTGGGTAATGTTTATTGAGTACTTCAAGTGCTGGGACAGTACCAAGTTCTTTACTTTGATTGTCTCATTTAGTCCTCACATCAGCTCTTAAGGAATAAACTGTTAAAACATTCTAGTTTTATAGATGAGGAACTGAGGTTGAGGAGTGGAGTAATTTGGCTAGGACTTCACAGCTGGAAGATGGCAGAACCATGACTACACTCTGGGCAGTGTGGTTCTCAACCGTTTATGCTTTGCTGCCTGTCAATGAATCGTGTGGCTCCTTCCTATGACACCCAGATTCTATATGATATGGTGTTCATTGGAGATTCCTTTGTTGAAGTCCTTTTTTGGTGATGCATTTTGGGAGATCCAAACTGGGTTGCAAGGGAAAGTGGAGGAACATGAAGAAACCTAGGCCTTAGGTCTGTAAACAGGGCCATCTTCAGGTCTCAACTTGGAACTTACCTTTCCCAGAAGGAAACCTCTCCAGAGACGGTGACCCCACAAACCTGCTTGAATGTCCTCCTTCTGTGTTCCTATGTGGCACCGTAATTGGCTGTTTAAATGTCTCCTCTCACTACTCCATGTGGTAGCCAGGACAGGACTGCCTTGTTAACGTCTGTATCTCCAGCACTCAACACAATGTCTGGTCCATAAAGGTTCACAACACATATTTGATAATTCTTAATGATGGAGTAAATTATTGTACTAGAAGAACTAATAATGTGACAGCTTTTATTGAATATTTTATTCCGAATACGGTGGTTAAATTTTTTACATATTTTACAGATAATTGTAATACTGAATTGTGATTTATCTAAAAGGGTTCTCTCATTTAATCCTTACAATAATTGCAGGAGTTAAGTATCATTGTTAACTATTTTACAGATGACAAATGAGCTGAAGTTTAGAGAGATTACATGACTTGTCTAAAATCACCTGCTGTTTAATCGGTAGAGCATGGATTTGAACCCTTACCTGTCTGATTCCAGAGCCTGTGGTCTTTACATGTTAGCGTTCTGCTTCTCTGGAGATTTGCACAGTCAAGTTAAATTGGAGAAATTGTAGAAATTTATGTTCTTGAAAAATTGCTAAGAAGCCCGCCCCAGTGTTGGGATGATTTGCCATATAAGGGCAAAAACAACAAAAAATAGATTCAGCCATACGTTGCAGTGATTCCTTTCTGTGCACCTGCTCTTACAGCATACACAGCTTCAGCATGGACTGGCATTAAGCTGTTTTAAAAAGGAAACCACTTTCATGCACCCGTTGTTAACAACAGCAGTTGTCTTAGTTGACACAAAATTGGTCTGATAACCCTGGTTGGTTTGCTAGATTGAAATGTGTGACATGAACAAATCGTGGCAGCTATTTATGACCAACATTAAGCATTTTAGTCTTAATCAGATGTGGAACTGGCTGATGGGTGAGGTCTAAGTTGGTGTTAACTAGACTGGCTGGCTGGCATTTCTGTTGATTGAAGATAGCAGAGAGACTGAGACATTAAAATGTAGTAGGCTCTTTAGACCCTAAGTGATAGCTAAAGCTTTTTTTTTTTTTTTAAATTTTACCTTTTAAAATTTTCTTTTCTTTTTTCTTTTTTTTTTTTTTTTTTTTAGACAGAGTCTCACTGTGTCACTAGGCTGGAGTGCAGTGGTGCGATCTCAGCTCACTGCAACCTCCGCCTCCCGGGTTCAAGCGATTCTCCTGCCTCAGCCTCCTGAGTAGCTGGGACTATAGGCGCTCACCACCATGCTCGGCTAATTTTTGTATTTTTAGTCGGGGTTTCACCATGTTTGCCAGGATAGTCTCAATCTCCTGACCTGCTGATCCACCTGCCTCAGCCTCCCAAAGTGCTGGGGTTATAGGCGTGAGCCACCGCACCCAGCCTTTAAATTTTCATAGTGCCATTCATTTCCAGAACTGGTAATTTGTATATTTGAGGATATTGTCTTATTGTATTAAAAGTTATATTTCACATTTTGAATAATACCAAGGTTTAGGGATTTTTTTAAAAGCCATGGAACATCCTTTTAATTTGCAATTTGGTTATTTAGAATTGTATTTTGGTAAAAAGACTTTCATATTCTCTTTTGCTATGTCTGCTAGTGCAGTTGATTACATCTTTTTGGTTCTAGGGATTTGGATTCTTGTAATTTGATGGCGTGTCCTTGGTAGTGGCTTTTTCTAGAAGTGAAAGTTGATATTTACTATACGATGTCATCATATCTAGACAATTGAGAGTTCTGGGTGGAGGTAATACAGGAGAAATGGGCCTAAGAAAATGTGTAACCTCTGTAGTGTTGATGTTACGTAATAGCTTTGTTTCTCTCTTCTTTCAGACTGGTCGAATTGACAAATCCTACCCTACAGTATGTGGCCACACAGGACCAGTGCTGGACATAGACTGGTGCCCACATAACGATCAGGTCATTGCCAGCGGTTCAGAGGACTGCACAGTCATGGTAAGCTCCCAGGGTGTTTAATGCACGCAGGCCAGTGGGACTCACCTACTGCTTTCAAAAGCATGTGTGTGAATGTGTGTGTATGTATAGAGGCTTGAAAAGCAGAAAGTTATAGCAGTTTTGACTGTCTGTTGGATTTTACAAGAATTTACTACATTTAAGTTTAATTACAGATAATCCTTTCAGCAAGCCCTTAAATCAAAAGGTTGTACTGCAGTGTCTTTTTTTTTTTTTTTTTTTTTTTGAGATGGGGTCTCACTCTGTCACCCAGGCTGGAGTGCAGTGTCATGATCTCAGCTCACTGTAACCTCCGCCTCCCAGGTTCAAGTGATTCTTCTGCCTCAGACTCCTGAGTAACTGGGATTACAGGCATCCGCTGCCACACCTGGCTAATTTTTGTATTTTTAATAGAGATGAGGTTTCACCATGTTGGCCAGGCCGGTCTCGAACTCCTGACCTCAAGTGATCTGCCTACCTCGGCCTCCCAAAGTGCTGGGATTACAGTCTTTTCTGTGAGTGTATTTGTGTATGTGCTTATTGACAGTTGACATCTTCTCTGTCGGAAGATTTTAGGGAAAGTAAAATGACTTTTCAGTAATTCTGTAATGCCATTTGACCACATGAATTTCCCCTTGCCCCAAAAGAACAGAAAAAACTGCTGGCACAGACTGTACAAGACAGTGACGTAAGATGCCAAAGTTATGCAGATGAAATGGGATATGTCACAGGTGGTAAAAGACAATTTTTGCAATTGCTTATTTCCAAGCTAACGGCAGAAATTGTGTTCTGTCCAGTGGACCCTGGTTAAGAAAGTCCTTTTCATAAAGATATACAAACAAACAAAAAACGTGAAAGGTGAATTAAGCACTTCACATTCCCTCCTTTAGTTTCCAAAAGTAGGTTATGTGTGAAACAAGGCTTTGGAGTACTTTTTAATATGATTTCTTGTTCTTGGTTATGATTTTTAACTTTAAAATGTGATTATTGGTTTGGGTCAGTTTTTAATGCTAGCCCAAAATAGGTTGAAAAGGTTAGGCATAAGCACAAATGGGAGTACTGCTGCCCCTGAAATAAGGGAAGATGGTCTCTAATTAATTTGGTAAGCAGTCTCGCACATGTCAGGTAGACAGCTTGGAGAACTATGCTACTTTTATTTTCCTCTCTGTTGGCTGTAGACTGAAACATTGTTTGGAAAGCTTTATTAATTAAAATTATTTTACATAAACACAAATTAATTCCTGAACTGTGTCATTTAAACATTTACCCGCTTTTCCTCATGGGCTTTTGGCTAGGAATGTCTCCTCCTGTGATCTCATAATTTTGGCAGCTAAAGCATATTAAGGAAATATGCTGCTGTGAAAGGGAATTGTTCTGTTTAATGTGCCTTGCTAAATTGATCATTTTAATGGCCACGGACACATTTTGCTAAGAGAAAGGAATATTATTTAGACCTGATGCCAGAATTTTTTTTTTTTTTTTTTTAAGATGGAGTCTCACTGTGTCCCCCAGGTTGGAGTGCAATGGCATGATCTCAGCTCACTGCAACCTCTACCTTCCAGGTTCAAGCGATTCTCCTGCCTCGGCCTCCCGAGTAGCTGGGATTACAGGCCTGCGCCACCACGCCCAGCTAATTTTTATGTTTTTAGTAGAAACGGAGTTTCACCATGTTGGCCAGGCTGGTCTTGAACTCCTGACCTCAAGTGATCCACCCGCCTCAGCCTCCCAAAGTGCTGGGATTACAGGCACGAGCCATCGCGCCTGACTTGGATGCCAGAATCTTAAACGGAGAGTCTGAACCTCTTTTGAAGAAGCAGGTTTGATCCATCCTCTGGCTCTCCCTGTCTCTAGCATTATCCTTTAAAAAAAAAAAAAGGATAACGTTATCCTTTAAAAAAAAAAGTGTGTATTATAAAACAGAAAAACACACCAAATAGTTAAGTGAAAAAGTGAATTCAGGGAGTTAAGTGATTTATGACATAGCGAACACCATGTAACCACCTTCCATGTCAAAAAGTAGAACTTTCCCAACCTCCTCGGACTTCTCCATGTGCCCCATCCCAGTCCAACACCCCTCCTCCCTCTCAAAGTAACCACTCTCCTGACTTTTGTAATACTCATTTCCTTGCCTTTCTTTGTAGTGGTAATCACTCAAGTGTATACCTTTAGACTCTATAGACTGGTCTTGCCAGTTTTAAAAACTTTAAGTCTTAATCTGAAGATTCTTTCTTCATCATTTTCTTTTTCCTACAATGTATCTACGCAAAAGCCCTGACGTTTGACCTGTGCTTTTCAGCCATCTGGATTTTGCTGATTGTATCCTCATGTTGCAGTGGAACGTACTCCTCTGTCCTCTGAATTTCCTGCAGATTGGCAGCTGGAACCTGAAGTGCGGTCAGATTCAGGTTCTGTCCTTTTGGCAAGACTGTATTGTTCCCGTTATGTTCTTCCATACGCTAGGAAGCACATGATGTCACGATGTCTGGGTTTCATTCTTTTTCGATTCGTGCATTCTGTGCCTATATCCAGTCATTCACTAGGGGTCGCAATATGGTGACAGTAAATTCTGTCATTTTGTTTTCAATTTTTAGCTGGTAAAATTTTATAAGATGATGCCCTGACTTGCATACTATTTAGTTACCAAATAGTATAGTTCATTTAGGAAAGCAGGATAAGTGCTTGATTCTTTCGTTTTATTTACCCAGTTCTCAAGATAATGAATTGATTGTCTGTCATCCTCAGAAGGTGACAAATTAGAGTTTTTTCCCCCCTTTCCTTTCATTTTGAAATTATGGATTTGAATATATTTGATGGGTTCAATCCATTATAATTCTTATCTCAAAGCTGACTTTCTCGCCTTTTCCTGTGGAAACCTCTTCAAGATTTCTGAGTCCTTTTGAAATGACCCTTGTAGTCTTTGATAGATTCCTTGCTGTGTGATATGCTGAGGTGTTTCAGGTTCACTTTGGACATCCCTGCCCAAGCCATTTCTTTCAGACGTCCTGGTTTATTTTAAGGGAAAATTATATCTCTTAAGTATGCAGTAGCATTATGTCTAAAAAAAAATGTGTGTGTGTGTGTGTGTGTGTGTAATTAATTTAAAAATACTGTATTACCAAAGAGAGTGTAATCTTTTTGTTGTGGAAGGTTTACCCTCCATGTTGATGGCTGCTGACTGATGAGGGTGGTGGTTGCTGAAGGTTGGGCTGGATGAGGCAATGACAATAAAGTTTGTCATATTGATTGACTTGGCCTCTCATGAAATCTTCCTCTGTAGCATGTAATGCTGTTTGATAGCATTTTACCCACCGTAGAGCTTCTTTCAAAATTGGAGTCAGTCCTCTCAAACCCTTTTGCTGCCTTATCAACTAAGTTTATGTAGGTAATATTCTAAATGTTTTGTTGTCATTTCAACAGTGTTCACAGCATCATTACCAGGAGTACATTCCATCTCAGGAAACTGTTGTATTTGCTTTTCCATAAGGAACAACGCCTCATCTGTTCAAATTTTATCATTAGATTGCAGCAATTCACTCACATCTTCAGGCTCCACTTTTTATTCTCTACTTCTGTATTTCCACCATATCTACAGTTACTTCTTCCACCAAAGTCTTGAACTCCTCAAATGTTGATATTTTGAACTCCTTCCATGAATCATGAATTTTCTTAATGTCACCTAAAATGGTTAATCCTTTCTAGGTTTGTTTTTTGTTTTTTTTTTGAGACGGGGTCTTGCTCTGTCGCCCAGGCTGGAGTGCAGTGGTACGATCTCGGCTCACTGCAACCTC